TTTAAAAACTACATCAAAAGTTCAACAAAACAAGTGGTGACAAAAATATTTTATTTTATCATATAGGGCATGAAAAAACACAAATAAATATAAATTCCTGTGAAGTTGGAATAGTGCTATGGGAAGAAAGTTTTAGGACGGAGGGAGTATTATTATTAGTGTTGTTATTGTTATTTTATTATACTTATATTAATAATAAATATTTTAATTTATTCGGGCCGGGCCGGCCCGGCTTGAGCATAAACCCGAGTCCGGCCCTAAAATCTTCGGGCCGCCATTTATAAGGCCCAAGCCCGGCCTGTACCCTAAAATGTCAAGCCCAAGCCCGCTATTTTGCGGGCGGGCCAGATACCCAGGCCCGTGATCGGGTCTAGGCCACAGCCACGGTGAATTGCCTCTCTTTCTTTCTTTTTTTAGTTTTTTATTTAATTTAGTTTTTTTGTTTAGTTGCTTTTTCATTTTTTTGCTTAGTTTTTTCCCTGAGTTGCTTTCTTCTACGTGAATTTTCTTTTATTACATTTTTCGGTTTGTATTGTTTGTATTTAGTTTTATTTATTTTTTTAGCAAAATTCTCAAATATATTTTTTAGCTCCAATTTTTTTTAGTTTTTTAGTAGTATTTTATTTAAGAGATTTTTAAAAAAATATTTAATTTCTTTATATCAAAATAGATAGAATTTAATTTGGAGACTTTTATTTAAGAGATTTTAAAAAAAATTATTTAATTTCTTTATATCAAAATAGATAGAATTTAATTTGAATAAAAATATGTAAATATTAAATAAAAATAAATATGTAATCATTGCAGGGAAAGTAATGCAGTACGATCAGACTACGAGCCGGATCGACGATGCCAACGTTACATAGGTCACTGAAGATGAATGAATTGCAAGACGCGCCCAAATCCGTATTAGAGAAACGTACAACAACCTTATTAGAGCGGATTTAGTATAACATCTTTGGAAAAATAAAAATTCAAATTAGGGTTAGTACAACAACCTGTTTTCATTTTTTGTCCAAAAGATCTTTTGGACATCTAGATGTCTTTATTCGTTCATTTTCGTAATATGAAAATCAATGAATTTTTTTACTAAAGATCATTTATCATTTTCTGTTCAATAATTTTATACCGTTCCCTTTATTTTAATCAAAATTAAAATAAAAGAAAAAGAACATAAAAGAAAGCAAAGAAAAAGAAAAGTATATGAAAAAAATAGTTTTATAGAACAAGAAAAATTAAGTCATGAAGAAAATATTTTGCGCTTTAGTCCAAAAAATATTATTAATATATAATTAACTATTTATTTAAAAGATGTTCCACAGTATTCTTTTGGTCCCGACATTTTCAAAAAGATAAAACTTTTTGTAGACAAAAAACGAAAACATTGAATTTGACAAATGGAGTATATGCTAAATTTTTTATACACAATTTTTTTAATTTTTTTAGAAATGTAGGTTTAACAAAACAATATTTTATTATTTCACACACAAATATTTTTCTTCTCTTTATGAAAAAAAGAAAAGAAAAAAGAAAAACAATAAAGAAAAAGGGAGAGGGGGCGTTGGCGCCCGTTTCCAAAATTAAACTTAGGGACAAGGAAGTTTAACATATGTAATTTTCGAACGTGTGAAAAACGCCCATTTCACCTAACATTTTAAGGATATTTTTGTCCAGCGAGATGTTGGTGTAACAATATCAAAATCATGAGAGGCAACGACATAAATTTTAAAACCATAGGGAGTAACAGTGCACATTTACCAAAACCACGGGAGTTGTTGGTGCAATAAACTCGATCAATCGGGATATGTCAATAGTTGTTGGTGATTTTAGTGTCATCGGCTATTTTGTGTAATTGGATTAACTTAAGATCGGATAGGAATTTTAATAAGACGTTGTTAACGAGTTACAATGTGCGGAGTGCCCTGGCCAGACATTATCGCTTTATGAAAATTCTTTGGACTTTCGTAATCGGAGTCTAAAATATGTAATTTTCGAATGTGTGAAAAACGTACCCAAAAAAGGGTTAACACAATGAACTATTCGAATAAATTAATACACGTTTATTTGAATAGTTCATGCCTATTTTTGGAGAATCCCAACTATTTGAATAAATGCTCATTTATTCGAATAGTTCAGCACATGACTATTTTTTTTTGGAAGACCCCAACTATTCGAATAAGTTGCCACTTATTCAAATAAGTCGAATTGGATAACTGCCCAAAAGATAAGATTTTCCCTATGGGTTGCGTCTATCCGGCCAACGGTCACGTTCGATCGCCCAAATTAAATGCCTATATTATGGGCTTGCATGGTATGTTTGAGATACGTAGGAAGTCCATACTCGTTCTATAAACTAACGTCTTGTCCAATTGAAGTATTTTAATATACTCTGAAATAACTTTAATCTGTAAGCATGATTTGACGCGATTCGATCAGTCTATCATCAAGTCATTTTACGTTACAATATACCAAATAACGTTATTACGCAGCGTTGTTCTCCATACATACTTACCCTATTTCCAACGTAACAATAGTTACTAGAGAAACGTTACGTTACTATACCCATTACGGAATATATTTGTTTTTATTTTTAAAGTAATTCTATTCTTAATTGATTCCACAATGGTTGTTTTTTAGGGGCAGAGACCTGTAATCAACTTTGAGTACTACAAGTTGAATTGGTTTTTGCCGAAGTAAGTTTTCATCAGAAAGACTATTGCATCCGATCCCATCCTTTTCAGAAATAATTGAGCTAGGAATATTCTTTTGGTCGTGATTACAAAAACCAAAACCTAATTAGAGCACTTGTTTAAATACTGTACTCCATATTTGACTAGGATTTATCCATACTACAAAATTAAATTGATTTTTTCTTAAATTTATTAGATTATTTGATATAATAGGAAATAGATATTATATACTTAATTAATTTTCTTATCATATCGTGTTCCTAATTATATTATGGAAAAATTACCCAAAATAATCCCAACTTTACCCGGTCTTTCAAAAATAATCCCACCTTTCACTGTGATGCATAATAATCCCAACTTTATTGAAATTTGCCAGTTTTGGATCGCCGTTAAGTTTCTAACGGAGAGTTAACGGAAATGCCCGTTTTAGGCAACAAAATGAAAGTTGGGATTATTTTTGATGAATTTTTGTTTTTTAATTTTTTTTGAAATTTTTATTTAAATTTTTTGAATTACTTTCAACCTCCATTTATTTTTCTTTTTTTAAAGATTATTCTTACCTTAGAAAAAATAGATATAAAAAATAATGAAAATGAAAAAAATAACTAAAACCATATAAAATTAATCAAATAAATAATGTAATCAATAGAAATTAAACAGAAACTGGTAAGAAATAAAATAAATATATACGGAGTGGTGGGTTTTAACATTTTACACACTATATGGAGTCTTAATGTACTACTTATTTTTAAAAGAACAAGCCATCCGGTAAAGTTGGAATTATTGTAGATAATTTTTTCTAAAATATAAGAAGTGATATGTTAATACTTTGTATAATGCATAAAATATTAAAACCCACCCGTATATTTTTATTTTACTCTTACCAATTTCAAGTTAGTTTCCATTGATTACCTTATTTATTTTATTATTTTTGTATCATTTTAATTACATTTCTCATTTTTTTCATTTTTTATATCTATTATTTTTATTTTTAAAACTAAGACTAATCTTTAAAAAAGGAAAAAGAAATGATGATGGAGGTAGAAAGTAATTTAAAAATTTTAAATGAAAAATGTTAAAAAAATAAAAAAAATGAAAATTCATCAAAAATAATCTCAACTTTCATTTGTTGTCTAAAACGGGCATTTCCGTTAACCCTCCATTAGAAACTTAACGGTGACCCAAAACTGGCAAATTTCAGTAAAGTTGGGATTATTATGCATCACAGTGAAAGGTGAGATTATTTTTGAAAGACCGGGTAAAGTCTGGATTATTTTGGGTAATTTTTCCTTATATTATTATCATAATTATTCTCCTACTATGATTAGAACTCTCTCATGTAATATCTATAAATAGAAATGTATCTTTGATTATTCAATAAAACCAATTATTATCAAATGGCTAAACTCCACCATTGGTCCTTCAACTTTATCAATTGTGCACGATTGGTCCTTCAAGTTTCAAAAGTCCATAAATAGTCCTTCAACTTTATGAGTTATGCACGATTGGTCTTTCAAGTTTTAAAAGTGCATAAATAATCCTTCAAGTACACGTCAGTCCTCCAGATGATGTCCTTTTGACAGTAAATGTTAAAAGCTAAATTGAATACTAGCTCCATATAATACGGAGTTGTCGTACCTAGTTGAATTTACTCGTATTATATGAAACTAGTATTTCGTTTAACTTTTAATATTTACTATCAAAAGGACTTCATATGGAGGGCTGACGTGTACCTGAAGGACTACTTATGGACTTTTGAAACTTGAAGGACCAATGGTGCAGAACTCATAAAGTTGAAGGACTATTTATGGACTTTTGAAACTTGAAGGACCAATCGTGCACAACTGATAAAGTTGAAGGACCAATGATGGATTTTAGCCTTATCAAATTACATCAAAATTCATAGATTTTCTTACTATTTAGAGAAACTCATTATGTTTTAATGCTATTTAAGTAAATTCCTATAGAAGATCTAATCAAAGAGCATTAGTAAAACTATATCCCTTATTAATTAGACGAGAAGTAATACTGTACTATACGGAGTATAAAGCACCCAATTTATATATGTGTTGGCAGATGCCATATATATGCTAATTATATTCATTAAGTAGATACGTACGTAAAATTTGATGGATTTGCATGTTAATTATATGGGGCCGGGAGTATATATATGAATAGAAAAAAAGGATTAATTATTCATTTCTATCTCAAAGCATATATATATATATATATATATATATATATATATATATATATATATATATATATATATATATATATATATATGATGGTCGATCAACCCACGTAGTCCATATATATGCATGCTCCTTCCCTGGCCGGCCTATAAAATGCTCACTCCCTTCTAAGCTGTTAAAAGAAGCAATATATTAAGCTAATAAGTAATAACACATTATTATTTTTGCCTTTGCTATATACATTTATAACAAAGTAAATTAATTGATAAATAATGGATGCATATGTTGCAAGTTTTGTTGCCCCCCCGGTTTCAAGACACGCGACGGCGGCGGCGGCTCCAGCACGTCGTCCAGTCATGGACAAAAACGGTGTCAAACCAGTGGTGTCTCCGCCAGCTCGACACGTAGACAGGAGGGCCACCGCCGCTACAGAGGCTGCTGTTATTGAGCCGCCGCCGCAACCATATTATTCTTCGTCCGGAAGAAATAATAATAATAATAAGAAGGCAACCTCAAAGTCGCCGCCGCCGCCGGGCAAGGGCAATAATAATAACAATGGTCGCGGATGCATCGTCGTTGAAGGCGGTGGCGACAAGAACATCGACGTGAAGGCGACAAGCTACATTTTGAAGGTCAAAGAACGTCTGAGGAGGGAAGAAATGAAAATTATGAATGAAAAGAAATGACTTGCAAATTTATTTCTGTTCTTGTCTCAAATAAATTATTGATGCATGCATATGCATGTGATCATAAGTGTAAATTAAAAATATTGAAGGGTGGACATAAATACCCCTCATCTCGTCAATGTATTCGTTATGTTTGACTTCCTTGAGTCAAACAATTTAATCTTTAATTATAGAGTATCAATAATAAAAAAGTATATAAAATAACATTGCAAATCAAAATTCATTAAGTTTAACTTCTTAGGAAAATCGACAAATACTTTGTACTCCATATCTCCTTGACTTTTTATCTTCTTATTTGATTCTTCACGATCTTAATTGTACTATTTTGATCATTAGTATTGATATACATGTATGTATTACCAAAGTTGTGTTCTTTTAATACAAACTTATGTCTTTATTTTAATATTCTCAGAGTAACATATGTTTAATTTTTTGACACGGTTTGAGCATAAGTGTGGTATGATACTGTTGTAGTTCAAAATGGAATGGTGCTGGAATGAATGATTTTGGAATTCATTCTGTACCGATACCAAACATTCTACGATTTGAGCATGAGTGTGATATGATACTGTTCTGGTTTGTAATAATTTTCAATAATATATCACGAATCATTACGGATCGCGTCCACTGTTAAGACCAACATTTTTGTACCGATGGTACATAGCATTTTTCACAAGCACATTATCTGTGACATCAGAGACAATTGATGTTTGCGTATATTTGTGACGTGATGGATAAAAATAAAAATAGTTAGGAAGAAAGATATCGGGCCATTGGGCGATTGAGGCCATTCGCGTATAACTGGGCTGGTTTTGCTTGGATAGGAATAAGATTGGGCCAGTTTGATTTGATTCCACTTCTCGCTTCCTGCGCGCGCACACTGTCGAAGACGAAGGACTCACTAGTCCCTTCCTGTGGTTTCTCTAGGGATTTCTGGGAAGGTGTTCTAGGCCGAATATATACTCAATCAGGTATTTTCACACGCTAATTTTGCTAAACTTGTTTTTCTTTCGATTTTCATGGCGGTGGAAAATAGCATTTGTTGGATTCTTGTGATTTGCTGCAGAAAATGCTTTATCTGTGACTTGGAAGCATAACTGAGAAGAGTATTGCTCTGTTTAGGGAAATGATGCATTGTGCTTCGTTTTCGAGTTTGAGCTGTTCATTCACTATTGGGATTCAAAGAGCGGTTTGTGCAAAACAGGTCGTGGGATCTAACCTCAATTTGGCTCTGCATATGATCAGTAATAATACGGAGAGTTTCAGGCATTCAAGCTACCTTTGTAATGCCAGAGTCATGGCTGCTTCTGGATCTAAAGCTTCTTCGGCCGATTTCATGGCCGATAATAGCTTAATCTCAAGTTGTGGCACCGTTTCAAGATTTGCCAGCCCTAACTGTGTCCATTTTGGAGATAGAGGTAGTACGAATTGCTGGAAAACCAATATGAGTTTGCAGATGAGGGAAGTGAACACTTCCCCCGCAGTTCGTGGGCATTTTATATTTGACATCTCACAGAGATCTTCCAAGTCCGGTCTAGCATTTAGGAAAGAGTTAAAAAGATACTGCACATCATCTTCCCCGCCTCATTCTGATGGATCATCTCCGGATGAGCACCTTGCAAGTCTTGCAGTTCCAATAGAACAGTATGTGCCCTTGTCTGTTGCAACCATATTAGCCTGGAGATATACTGTCAATATTTGTGATCCATCTTTGCAATACAAATTTAGATCACGAGAATTGAGAAAGGTGTCTAGTGGGCATTGTACATACAGTTTTTAAAGTGTACCGGAGTATTTATGGCCGATTTTCTGCTTTTGATCATTGGACAAATCTTCTTTACAAATCATTTTCTTTACTGAAGAACAAAGCAAATAACTGTACATTAGTGAGGATTTGCAGCATTGGTCTATTATACTTAATACTAGTGTAATTGATTTCTGTAAGTCATCTATAGGTGGCTTCTATAACATTGTCAGCTGTCACTGTATCTTTATGCTAATTTTTGTTTTTACTAATTACTATATTGACAAGGGAAATGTAACATTAGTCTAGAATGCCACATCATGGATCAAGCTTAAAATTTGTTTGTTCTCTCTTATTACATTGCTTTGCTTGGCTGACCAGGAACATGAAGGCAGTAGGTCATGGATCACTCAAGCTAGTTTCTGGATCATGCTACCTTCCTCATCCTGATAAAGTAAAAACCGGTGGAGAGGATGCTCATTTCATTAGTGAAGATGAGATGGCAATTGGTGTAGCAGATGGAGTTGGTGGGTGGGCAGATGTTGGCATTAATGCAGGAGAATATGCACGAGAACTAATGTCCTATTCAGTGAAAGCTCTTCTGGACGAACCCAAGGGTTCCATTGATCCGGCTCGTGTATTGGAGAAAGCATATTCAAACACAAATGCGCAAGGCTCTTCTACAGCCTGTATCATAGCCCTGACAAGCGAGGTTTTATTTCCCAAAAAAAAGTTCTAGTACCTTGATATGTAGCTATACAATCATCTTATACTTTAGACACTTTGTATTGATGAAAATTTATTTATGTGTGTCTATCTGCATTAATCATATGCATAAAAACTGGCTAACTTTTTTTGGTAACTGGAAAGAAAAGAGGCTGTTTGAACTTTGAACTTGTATAGGCTTCTGAGACTAATCATCTTTTGGTGGTGCTCCTTAATACATCATAATAAGACTCTTTACTTTTAAAATTAGGTTGAAATACTGCTAACCATTTCCATTACAATGCTAATATTTTTTCCATGATTGGTTACTTAATTCTATTCTTCCTTCCAAATAGGGCCTTCATGCCATCAATCTTGGAGACAGTGGCTTTGTTGTTGTTAGGGGTGGACACACCATCTTTGAATCCCCAGTTCAGCAGCACGGTTTCAATTTTCCATATCAACTTCAAAGTGGCAGTGGTGCTGACCTTCCAAGTTCTGGTCAGGTTTGTTGCTTAATCCCCTATATGTTCATACTTCATACCATACATCCCTCAATTCCACATCTTAATAAATAGATAAATAAAAAATTACTTCTTACATGTTGCAACTTGCAACAACCAGGGGCAGGTCTATTATGGAAGATTGAGTAAGGTGTGTTTGTGTGTGTGTGTGTGTGTGTTGTTCTGTAAACCTCGCTGTCAGTTTTTGTAAGGGTAAGGTCTGTGAACATTCAAACCCCACTTGTGGGGCTCTAGTGGGTGTTATTTGTGCATATTTTGGGCTGCATGACTTTGCATTCAGATATAAATTTAGGGCCCGTTTGGTGAGTTTTGGAGATATGATAAGATATGAGTTCTGAAATCTAGGAGATAAGATATGAGTTTTGAAATCTGAAAGGAAAGTGTTTGGAGAAAACAAAAATGAAATCAAATCCCAATCACAACTGTTTGGTGAGCAATTAAGAAATTAAATATGGAATATAAGTGTTGAATTATATTTTAATATATATATATATATATATGTATGTGTGTGTGTGTGTGTGTGTATATATATATATATATAGTATTGTATTGGTTAAAAATGAAGAATAAGGTTTTATTTGTACATTTGTTAATAAAATTTTAATGTTTTCTTGATTCTGTATTGTTACTTTTTGTGAATATTTTTTATAAATTGCTACACATGTAAAAAAATCTTACATCACATGAAAAGTGAATGAATAAAATTTATTCAAGAGGAATATTTTAAAATCAAATTATTTTTTAAAGAGAAAAAAATAAATCAAAAAGATTAAAATTGCATAAAAATTCAAAACAGTAGAATGAGGCTAACTAACAAAATGGGAGATGTGTTTCAAAAAAAAAACCAAAATACAAAATGGGAGATGAGGTCGTGCAACGCCCAAAAGTTGTTACTCCGTAGCACATTTGAAATCGGCAAGATTTGAAATCGGCTTAAATTTGACGATATGAAGATGCGGCATTTTGCAGATATGGAGTATATCTGGAGATATCAATTGGATCCCTTTTTATCTTCACCAAACACTTTTTTTGGAGTTTGACATCTCAAATATCAAATTTTATCTGTTTTTGTCACCGAACAGGCCCTTAAGTGTTTATGTGCTTTGTTTTTAATATATATGTAGGTCCTCAAATTCGAAATTCTTGATCCTCCATTAGCCCCATCCAGCCTATTATTGCTGCATCTTTCTATCTATAACTGATAAGAAACACAATTCATTATGTGCATGTGTGTGGGTGTGTGTATTCTTCAAGAAGCTGCTCAAATTTTCATAATTGGGCAATCTTTAGGTTTTCACAGTTGCTGTTAAAACTGGGGATGTAATCGTGGTGGGAACTGATGGATTGTTTGACAACCTGTACAAAGATGAAATTGCTGCTCTTGTTCGTGATGCAGTAAACAGTGGCTTCAAAGCAGAGGCCACTGCTAAGAAAATAGCAGATATAGCACGCCAAAGAGCTCTTGATAGCAAACGTCAAACCCCCTTTGCTGATGCGGCACAAGAAGTTGGGTTTCAATACTATGGTGGCAAACTGGATGATCTTACAGTTGTCGTTTCTTTTGTCACTGACTCAACTGCTGCATAGGCAGTAAGTTTCTACCTTCTTATAGCTTCTGGTTCTCTTTTACATTGGATTTTTATCTACCGGTGCTTTGTTATACCCCACATATCTAAAAATATTGACTCAATAAATATACATCTGCTGTCAATAGGATTATTGAGGTCCCTTTTGGTGAAATATTCTAATAGAAAGATAATAAAATTACATACAAAAATTAATATGACATCATTATAAAACTTAATTAAAACAGTATGTCAACATCTAAATAATTACAAACTTAGTGCTTTCATTATAACTACGCTTTTATCAACGTCTTCGTTCAAAAATATACACGTGAATATGTGATGGCATACATGTGCGGCACTAGGATCCTTGTCTTGCCACTAGATTGGCCTTGGGGCCATGACTTTGGTAGCGGGCTTTGGTAGATTTAATCCTAGGATTGGGTGGCAGTGGCTATATGTGAAGGCCTTGTCTATTAGGATTGGTTTTGGTTGGGTGTTTATAGCTTTTTGCACAATGAGTGTTGGGATTTATGAATCTGTAATAGAATTGCCATGGGGGCTTGGCCCACAAGACCTTACTGTATTAGACCCATCTTCTCTGTTTCATCTTTTGTGCCATTGACTTGATGCTTCATTTGCAATCAGACCTCTTACTAGATTATGTACTTTTACTCACTAGTCATTACCATAATTTTTAGTACACATCCTTTGGTTTAAGAGTTAGGGTATATTCGATGAGATCCTCCCAAGAAAGCACAAATATAAAGATGACACACCGAGGAATAATAGGTTCCACGACATTGCTTGAACCACATTGTTGTTGGGACGCGACACGTGGCTCAAAGAGAACATGAAGAGAGCATTGGTTTTGTGGACAAATTAATTAGAACGTGTCACAAATATCAAGGTCAAACACATTAATTGTGGAATGACATGCGTCTAATGGACTGAGTAGGCACAATTGACTCGTATTCTTTTTTCTTGATCCAGGTCTTTTCCACTAGATTTTTCTCAATATTTTAGTGAGATACATGGTGTTCTGTCGAGGCCAGGGCCATTAGAACAATGCATATTTCATATTTGTAGAACAACATTGAACTTGAAGTTTATCCCAGTGCCGGTGTCACTTGTTCCCTTTCGCCAAAAGTGCTATCACCTCAAGAAGTGGAAGACTTATGATGGTATGCATAGGCCCGCCCCCCTAGCAATGCCATAGATGACTCTCTTCCACAACCTCGGCACTCGGCTTTGGTGTATTCAGGCATCGGATTGGGTGGCTGCGTGTAAAAGCGATATGGTTGGGTTTGGTTTGTAAGCCAAGAAAAAATTTTATACTCTAAAAGTCAAGATATGTTTTCAGTTTTCTATGCTGTTATACAATTACACCCAGAATGGTAGCTTTTTTTAGCACCAGAAAAAAGTCTTTTCTTCTTCTTCATGCTCTACTACTGTCTTCGCCCTCAACATATGTTTTCTAAAGTTGCTATGCAAAAGATATGTTTTCTTAAGTTTCTATCCATTTACAAGTCGTTTTTACTCAATGGACACTGTTTTTTTTTATAGCACCAAATGGAAAAACAACAAAGTGCTTAGTTCAAATGGAGGGAGTACAAAATGAGTACCCGACTTCAAAAACAGAGAGTACCAATTTGTAATGCATATGAAAATAAGCACAAGCCTAAACCTCAGACGGGATCAAAGTATTGTTTGTTCACATTGAAATTCTCCATTTCTTTTTGGTTCTTTTAGCTTGTTTTTGTTTGTTTTTTTTTTTGGACAAAAATGCTCAATAAGGAACTGGAAACTGTAATGCGAGACTACATGCAGATAAGAAGTACCTCACTCATTCAAACCAAAACACCATATAGAGTCGAGAACAACAAAAGTTATTTAATTTTCACAAACTTAGCAAGGGTCTTAGTACAGGGTCGTCTGAGTAAGAACTAGTTCTGATCCATCTGCTTATTCAAGAGCAAACTATTCACATTACATATCCATCAGAGTTTGGAAACTGGGGAAATTTAAGGCAAGATCTTCTTCTTCTTGTTCAAGACTTTTCTTCCCCAGTCCATGTCCATGCCTGCTGGACCCTCCTCTCCCCACTCCCAGCCACCACCCTCGTGTCGCTCTTCTTCTTCTTCTTCTTCCTTGTGCTGCTTAGCGGCCTCCTCTTCCTTCTTTTGTCTACTCTCCTCTTCTCTTCTTTCTTCTTCCTCTTTTCTAGCTGCCTCTTCTCTTCTTTCTTCTTCCTCTTCTCTAGCTGCCTCTTCTTCTTCTTCCTTTTGCCTTTGCTTTTCCTTTTTCTTTGCTTCTTCCTCTGTTTTCCTTGCTTCCTCTTCCCTTCTAGCTGCCTCTCGAGCGGCCTCTTCTTCTTCCTTTTGCCTCTGCTCTTCCCTTTTCTTTGCTTCTTCCTCTTTTTTCCTACCTTCTTCTTCCCTTCTTGCAGCCTCCTCTTCTTGTCTTCGTTGCTCTTCTTCTTTCTTCTTGGCCTCTTCCTCTTGTCTCTTTTTAGCTTCTTCCTCCTCCTCCTCTCTTTCCTTCTCTTGTTTCTCTCTTCTCTTCTCTTCCTCTTCTTGTTTCTTCTTTTCTTCCTCTTCTTCCTCCTCCTTTTTCTTCTTTTCTTCCTCTTCTTGTTTTCTCTTTTCTTCCTCTTCTTTTTTCTTCTTTTCTTCCTCTTCTTGTTTCTTCTTTTCTTCCTCTTCTTGTTTCTTCTTTTCTTCCTCCTCCTTTTTCTTCTTCTCTTCCTCTTTTTCTTTCTGAATTTCTTCTTTCATTACCTTGAACTCCTCCTCGGCGCACGATGTGCATTCAAGAATGATCGCCTGCTCTTGTTGGTTCAATATCTTATCCACTGTCGTGTTTTTGGCATCCAAAGAAACCGACAGAATGTCTCTGTCCAGAGTTCGTAACACGGATGCTTTGCCCGCCAGGTACTGAGGGTGGTTGTTCTTCGCCGCCGTACTGAATCCCATGAATACAAAGGAGTCGTTGTTGAATGCCACTTGAGCCATGGGATGGAACCTCGGCACGGCAAACATGTCACCTTCCTCAACGTGAAACCTCATGTTTTTGCAGCTTGTTCGGTTTCCGCTGCTGGGACAGACGACCGTAACCATTCCCTGCCCGTGCAAACAGATTCCAAACTCAGAAGCCCTTGGGTTCCAATGCGGTCCCATCATAGAACCCTATCAATTGAAACAACTTATCTTCAATTATCAATCATCTATCATAAATGTGATAATCACTAATCTACAAATAAAGAACAATAATAAATGCTGTTTATCACATCATTAAACTGCGGGAGACTAAGAAGATTTGGGCACAGACAGTTCAGGAAATGTTACCACCATACCATATTACAACAACAAACCCAACTTATTAAACTGAGGCAGGTGGAATTAATTCTGTTTTTCGAAGTAACTTTTAATTTCTTTTTAGTAATACTGTTTACTATTAGGTATTCTGTTGACTTGTTCATCCCACATCGGCTATGCAGCCTTATATTGTGCTGTTATTTAATAGCTTGGGTACCTCAACCTCTTGAGTTAACTTTTGGGGTTGAATTGGGCCCAAGCCCATTATTTCAACATGGTATCAGAGCTAAGCCATTGATGTTGGGACCGCGCCCGCAGTAATCTGCGCCTCGTGTGAGGGGGGCGTGTTGACTTGTTCATCCCACATCGGCTATGCAGCCTTATATTGTGCTGTTATTTAATAGCTTGGGTACCTCAACCTCTTGAGTTAACTTTTGGGGTTGAATTGGGCCCAAGCCCATTATTTCAACATATTCAAAACCAGCAAGGTAATTTTGAAAGTACACCTACCCACAAAGAGTAAATTAATCAAAACAAGGTAAGGTTTTGACTTTTGAGTGATACATTCAATGCATGATCGATTTTCTTGCAAATAAAAGATGGAGTGTGTGTTTTATTATAGCAACTAACCTTGGTCAAGTTAACCATGAAAACACTGATGTCAATGCCCTTCAAAGCAGACAACTGCTTCTTGGTTACCACTGTGCTCCACCCGTTGCAGTTCTTGAAATCGGGCTCATTTGAGAAAACATTGAACAATTTGTTCTTTTTGTTTTCGCCGGGGATAAAGGCGATGTAACCATTGCCACCCAGAAGGGCTCTCATGAACGCAAACTCCCTATCTCTACGACTCTCCTCCTTCTGCAACCCGTGCACTATACCTCCCGGATCTGCACCTCCCGTTATCTCTTCTATGGCTTCCGAAGGAACCTTAGAAGAAAACAGAATTGTCACTTTAATTTCACCCACATTTTGTTGTGTTATATTCTCTTCATTCGAATTTAGTTAATCCATTTTTTTTCCTTCTTGGGATGTCCAGGATCACTTATTTTCTCACCTTAGATGGTAAGATAAACACATGATGGAGAATAGTTACCCAAAATATCTTAATAAAGAGCATGTTAAGCTTCTTTCCTAACAAGGATCTTGTTTGTTTGTTTGTTAATTTGCCCATTGATGTTAAATTGTTCGTAGGGGTGGGGAATGAACTTAATTACCCCAAATGCTGCTCCTAGGACTGATTTATCAAAGCCAAGAATCAAATCGCGAATACTCGAGTACGGGCGGATTGCTGGTTCCTGAAATGACCCACAAAAAAGAAAGAAGACAATTTTTTTTTTCCCTGAATGATTTGCAAAACAACAGTAAGTTTTCAGTCAAGAGTGGTACGTGTGTGGGTACATACATGCAAGTCATTTTCTGCATTGGCAAAGAAGGCATAGATTCTAAGTTTCTCGCTATAACTGCTTTCTATGTAGAAAACAGTTCCGGGTTCGAGCCTATAGATATCTCCCTTTTCCACTTCAACCTGCTTTGTTTCACTCTCTTCTGTCCAACTGATATTCCCACTCCCTGCAAATCCCCATCCCCACAAAAATGAATGAACCATATATATATGTGACTGAAAATGAAATACTACAACTTTGTAAGAGTAAACTCTCTCTCTCTCTGTGTGTGTGTGTGTGTGTGTGTGCAAGTCTTTGCATGTGGGAGGGGACGGGGTTTTATTAGATAAAGAGTTGAAGATAGAAGAAACCAGCCTGTGTGAACATAGAAAACCATTTCAGATTGGAGAAGAACAGGGAGGAACAAGGCGTTGGGCTCCAAGGTGATGGACTCGATATGGAACCTCCCGTTGCCTATCCCGTCGCTGATTCTGACGGTGGAAACCTCCCCGTCCTCCGTCGACACCGTCGTTTCCCTTTCACCCTTCTTCACAAGGAATGGCCGCCGGCCGCCGCTGCCCTCCTCCACCTCGTGTTCCAGCGCCGCCGCCGCCGTAGAGACGGGCAAATTGGGGGATAATAAGATCAACAAGAAGAGTAACAAGGCCGCCAGATTAGCAATTACGTGGCCGGTGGTTGTCGATGATGATGATACAGAGGTGGTTCTACTTGTCGCCATGTTTGTTTGGCTTTTGGTTCGTGAGATGTGCGTAAAAGGCGTGAGGAGTGAGTGTGATGATTATATAAATGAAGAAGAGATTTATTAGTACTACTAGTAACGTAGGAGTGTGGGGTACGTGGCATTTGCATGGGGCTGCAGGCTGTGTATGCCTATCTGAGGATCGATGCATGAGAGTGCCACGCGTCACTCGGTCTTTGTTTGTTTGGTTGCTCGCGATTCTATCATCTAATGCATTTACTCGCGCCATCTCTTTTATCTAATCCAGGCCAGAAATTAAAGGGGAAAAAAGAACTGAAAATTTCACGTTTTTAGTACACCCAAACATATATCTGATCTTATCGTAGAAATTTCACGTTTTTATTATGTACTGGCCTGGTTCAATTTTTATAGATCTGGATTCTTTTCACAGGTTTTAACATGTACTCCGATCCCTAATTAGAGAATGGAATATATATATTAAGTGTGTATGCGTTTCACGATTTTGAACCTCCCATACAAAAAAAACGTGATGCTTCTGATGATCGACTGCTTCCTGAATTTCCTGATGGACTACGTATTATACAAAAAAAACTTAGATATGAATTTGCTTAATAATGTCACTACTCATTTTATAATATTACATAGTCACGCCATTTTTTAATTTTGTAGAATTTTTTTGAAAATTTTATTTATTTAAATTTTACAATTACAATTAAATAAATTGAATTGAAAATAAAATCGGTTAAACTTTTAACATGTAATCTTTCGACGTTTTTACTAGCTCCCAAACTCATTAGTGTAATATCTGCTTGATGTTATAGATCATAACTTTTCAAGTGTAGAGATGCGATTTGAACACGGATGTAGAGAAGTTTGAGGTGACTCACTTGCCTCTACACTAACAAAAAAAGGATGACACCCCATCCTTGAGGGCCCCTTAGCCCCGGACGGGTAATTACCTGAAAAGAGGTAAACTGAGCTATAATCTCTGTCAATTGACACGAGATTAAAGTTTCGTGCTTAATATTTACAACAACGGTAAATTTGATGATGGACCTACATATGAGCAAAATAAAATTTTTGACATTTAGATAAGCATTTTTTAAAATAAAAGAATTTTTTTTAATGTGAGAAATATCCATAAAAATGATTTGCACGCAAGTTGCACGATAGAAGCACTCACTAATGCTAACAAGTTTCCACCATTGGATATAATTTTTTAAATGTATAAAATACATATTTAAATCTTATACTTACAATGAAATTGAAAATTTCAACAAAACCTTATAAAATAAAAACGGGAATGTGATATTTTAAAGAGAGAGACTAACTATAAACTATTGTTTCTCTCTACATAAATTTAGATTACATAAATTTACTAAATAGAAAAACGTGTCATTTTGAAATTGGAAGTTCAAACTTGAAACGGAGAAGTAGTGACGTAAGATGGGCAGGCAGGGAGGGAGCCCGTTGTTTCTCTTTGCATTTAATTAATTTCCGCCTTTACAAAAAGAAATATTAACATTAAAAAAAATTAGGGAGGAGAACAATAAGAGAGAGAGAGAGAGTAGGAAACGGAAAGGGAGAGAGAGGCACAGAGAGAGCATCCGAGTTGGACTCCACCTCACCTCCACCAGGTCCGTTACTACATGCTCTTCTTCTTCCTCCTCCTCGCTTTTCATGCATTTATTCTTCTTCTTCTTCTTTAATTTCCCCCATTTTTCTTTCTGTTTTTTTTTGTTTTTCTATCCTTCGAATTTATTAATGAAAGCTTTGTCTCAAAATTACCTCTGGAAATCACGTTGTTTTTGCTTCCATTTGGTTTTTGGGTCGAAAATTGAGCATTTAGAGTTTTGCTCACAATTTGATCTTGGGATGATGTGTTTATTTAATTAATTATCACGGTTGAGCTCTTGCAGTGATTTTAATTAATTAATTAATTAATTTTTTTTTGAAAAAAAAAGTCTAGTGAAATTCAATTTTTCAGCGTTTTGTTTTTTTGCGGTATGAATGCGGGTAGTATTTTTAGCGTGGAATTTGTTCATCCGGGTGTGTTAATTTTCGTCGGTGCTGGAATCAATTTTTAATCTCATTTATATTTTTTTTTTTGCTTATGTTTATAATGGCGAATATTGGGAAACGAAATGATGAATAATGACGGTTCTCTTGTAACTAACTTGATGCTTTTGCAAAATAAAAAAATGAAGCTTACTCGAAACTGTTTGACAAAATTGCATTGGAAATGTAAATATTTGGAGGTTTTTTGGACTGGGTAGAGGTGACCGTTTTTTTTAATGAGGGTAGAGGTGACTATAGTCTATATTGTATTAAATTAAAGATGTTTTTTTTATTTATTTAGCCGTGTGGGTGTAGTGTAGCTCAGCTAGTTGAAAGGGGGTTGCACCCGAGTTTGACTCCCTAAGAATGATCATGCTGTGCACGTGGGTTGGGTTCTTGCACGTACCAGAGATGGATCCCACCTCTTATATGAGATTATAACTCAATTTACCATACTAGGGAGACCCTATCGTTTGAATCAGTACTAGGGAGACCATAGGGACTCTTTTATTAAAATAACTAAAGATGAATTTTACTCTAAATATTTCCTGATTTTCCCAGCAGGGTGGATGGTTCTCACCACCTAGAAAGCATGCCTATGAATGTGTGATGTTTTCGCACACTTAGCGACAAAAGGTGTATTGATCACGTCCTCACTTTTGTGCATCGACGTGGCTAGATGAGGCACGTGACAAGTGATTTGCTCTTATTCGTGTTCATATTAGTTTGCTCCAACAGATTCCTAATATTTTACATTTGTTTTCTTGCTTGTCTAGGCGTTGCGGTTTGTCGTATTCGTAGGAATTGTAATTGGAATGATAAATGTCGAATATTATAACGTAATAAAACATGCGATTCGGGAAGGCCAAGCCTTGATTCTTGTGTTTGACTCTTCTCGGTTCTTGTCGTGTTTTCACACACGTTGCTAAGGTGGCTGAGCTGGATGCTCTCATGCATAAATGACACAAGTGATACTCACTCGCTTCAACAGCGCGTTCCTTATGGAGAACTCCGACACTCTTAACCAAATTAATCCACTTATTCGTGTCAACGTGGCTAGATGAGGCGCGTGACTGATTACTATTTCCTATTAGTATCCTAATTAGTTTGTTCCCGTGTTTAGTAAATTTCTATTTTGTTTTAGATTTGGGATTTGTTTCCTTGCTTGTCTAGGAGGCTCTAATTACTGTTTTATATGGTAGTACTAAAATGACTTTTGATTGGAATAATAATTATCAAACATTTGAATGTAATAGATGTGTGTTTTGGCAAGGCCAAAACTTGGTGCTTGTGTTTGACTCTTCTCTGCCAAAGGCGAGAAGAGTTTTCTTTTGTTCACCACCATAGCTTCTCATCGTCTTTCCTAACACACCTTGGACATGCTAGTATGAGCATTCTTCTGTTTTCATTTTGAAGAGCAAAAATTGTGGAAATGGAAAAGTTGTATTATTAAACAATTAAGGAGGACTTAAATTTTATTCGTTATTTTGATTTACTCTTTTTACAAAACACCCATTGACCAATCCTTTTCTCCCTCTGCATTTTGGTTGGTTTTACAAAGATCTGATATTCCAAATGTTTCATTATTGGTATGCATGTTCTTGAGTTTTTTTTGGAAGTACCAGATTTTACTGTATGTATGCGTGTGCATAAAAGGGTCTTTGGAGTTGCCTTAAAAATACTAACATAATAAATCCACAATTTGCCATTCCAGAATGCGACTATATTAAATTATACAAATTAGAGATATCCCAATTCAAGGACTTCTGGGAAAAATCTTTAAATCCTTAAATACAATTTAGAAAAATCCCAACTAAATTCACAACTATCCTATATCCACAATTCAAGGATTAATATATTTAAGAATACATTTTAGAAAAATCCCACGTGTCAGTCTGCTAGTAATTAGTATGCACTCGAAGTGTGTGAATTCAATACAGAATCTCTTAATTTGGAACTGTGATAGTACTTGCATCTTTCATTTATGAATTACTGAAGACAATCTCTCCACCCTAACAACTTTTTCCAATATATTAATGTGGGCCTTTTATCTCATTCCTCTCCGTGTGGTTTCCAGATACTCATAAATTAACTTCTTTCCCGGGCTCTTTGTTCATTCAATTTCTCTTCATTGATAATGCCTCTCATATTCCGAGGGTAGTAGTGTTTTCAAGGGTCCCAATTTCCTTTATTTGTTAGATTCTGCCAGTAAATGTTCCACTTTTACCAAGTTGTGTGGTTAAGTATCTTTCTTTACTAATTACCAACTAACTTATAACCCACCATCGTAAATGCATTTCCATTGATGGCGGTGTCAATAGAGACATTATTCTAATTGTTGTGAACTTTTATCATTCTTCCAACCTTAGATCTCTGTCCTTGTATACATTAGAAAACATGGAGACTTCTTTTTTATTATTACTTTTTCTTTTGGAGCACAAAAAATGGAAAGGTATTGAGACATCAGTGTTTCAGTTTCATACAAAATAATTGGCTTCTTCAGTTTTTACCATGATGCCTAGTTAATCTAGTGTTTAATTTTGAAGGAAAGAGCTTCATTTGGACAATCACAATAAAGGCATCAATTCTCTGATTCTAATGGAGTCAGGGGTAGATAGAGAAACAGCAACACATACAGAAGCTCAGGTGCTTTTGCACTTTGTTTGTACTCCCTGCGCCCAAAACAATCTGTCCCTAATGTGTCCTATTTTATAAAATGAAGCTAATTTTTCATGTAAGTTGTGGGTAAATATTACAAGTTAAACATGATAATTGTTGTAAACTGAAATGTGAACTTTACAAATATTAGTAGCACCCATTGAGTTCCCATTGCTAAAAAAGTCATTGTTTACAATACTTTAGCTTCAGGTTGATAATCAACTAATCAATATTGCACATTAGACTTTTCTTGCTTCTTACTTTTTTGTATGATGTTTTGGGGTAGTGCGTGCATCAATGCATCAAGGGTCTAATGAAAATAACATCTTTGTTTTCGATAGGATTAAGGTTGCATACATCTTTACCCCCAAACCCTGATGTAGATGAGATGGCATTAGGTTTGTTGTCGTTGTAGTAGGATTCAATGACTTTTAGAAGTTGTACATTTTCCAAACTTTAAAACTTGTACTTTAGCACAACCTTGTTTTGGGACAAAGGGAGTATATGTTTTCATTTTGTACTTCTTGTTTCATATGATTACCAGCTTTCTGCATTTCCTTCAATTCTCAGGAGGTGCCAGTTGCATCTTTATATCCTGATTGGACAAGCTCTATTCCGGTTTGGCAATGAGTCTTCTTGATGTTAAGCCAAGTAGATGCATATAACTTTATTAAATTCTCTCCTCTTTTGTGGGTTTAGGCTTATTATAGTGCTGCTGCTACACCTCCCTTCTTTCCATCAACTGTTGCTTCTCATACTCCCCATACCCATATGTGGGGAGGCCAGGTGATTAATGCCTATTCAAATCATTAATTAATGTTATACATAAATTTTCACACATCTTAAATGGTTTAACATGGAGGTAACACTTAATCTGCTTGTGTTGTGTTACTACTTTAGCCTCTAATGTCGCCTTATGGGACTCCGGTTTCATATCCTGCTATGTATGCTCCTGGTGCAGTCTATGCTCATCCCAATATCGCAATGGTAACACTAGCTTGAGCTTTTGATTTGTACTTTTTATTCTCTTAGGCCTTAAGGGTGTATTTTGGGATATCCGAATATGCTATGGGAAGGGTAAAATGCTTAGTTATTTTCTTATGCTTGGCTTTATCATATAAAATACAAAAAACAAAATTCTTAATAAAATGTTAAATATATTTAAATTTTTAAGTTTTTACGTAGTATATAATCTAAGTTTGAACAACTATAAAAAAAAACTTCTAAGTACCCCTAGACCCCACTCATGGGATTTTACTCAGTAGGTTGTTGTGCAAATATGAAAAAACAAAATTGAGTTCGCCCATTGCCAATTGAGCTCACAGAGTTATTATTGACATTTTTATTATTTTAGTTTCGGGCACATGATGGACTAAACCAAAATGGAACATTAGATTTCTCCTACTTACTCTCTATAAAGTTTTAGTAAATGCAGCAATGCGTCTTGGGTCTAATGGAAATAGCTTATTTGTCCTTACAGAGGTAAGATTGCATACATCCCCCCCCCCCCCCCCAAATACCTCAATAAAGTTGGGATTATATTGGGTTGTCGTCTTTGTTGTCCTATTTTTTATTTCTCTCCAAGTTCTCTCCCAAATTACCTCTCTACTTTCCATTGTATTTCTCGAGTCCAAACTGGCCTCTAAAGTTCTAGAGCTGGCTTAATATGTTTCAAAAAGGAAATATGATGTCTTGAGCTTGGCATGCTGTTCATGTGTTCCATCTTTTTGATAGTTTTCTTTCTTTCTTTCTTCCATCTGGTTGGTAGGCTCCAAGTCAAATGCAGGCAAATGAAGACTCAGACGCAAAGGCATCAGAAGGGAAGATAAAGTCTTCTGGGAAGAAACCAAAGAAAATTTCTGGTGATAAGGCGGGAGATAGAACCAGAGAAGCTTCTGGATCGGGATATGATGGTACCACCCAAAGGTGCTTTGGAGTAGATTGGCTTCAGCTTTTCTTTACATTAGTTTTTCCTTCTTCTTTTGCCCCCTGTAGGGTCTCTTTCGAAATCTGAAAATACTGATAAAAGAAAATAGGAAGGAAAATGAGGTGGCAAATGGGAAGGAAAGAAAATATGTGGGGAAATAAACGAGAGGCATAGGTTCAATTATTTTATGTGAGATATGTGTTTAAAATCATTTATTTATTTTTCTTTTCCATCATCTCCGATGGAGCCAAAATTTCACCATTTTTTGGCTTTGGGGTGTGATGGAATAAATCAAAATGGATCTCTAAACTATCTGCGGTTCTTTAATTAATGAAGTAGCAGTTAGTCAAGCAATGCAACTTTCGACGTTGAGCCGGGGGTCTCTTTGGAAACAGCCTCTCTACTTTCGAGTAGGGGCAAGGTCTGCGTACACACACCCTCCCCAGACCCTACTCTTGTGGGATTTAACTGGGTTATTGTTGTTGTTGAACCAAAAGCAAAAATATATTTCACCTTCAATCAATGAGAGTACAATCACATCACAAATATGGTATTTGATCCACTGCATTGCCTTTTCCACTGAAATATTTCTATTATTATGCACCAGTTGGTTCATAGCTTTCCAAACACAGTTACAAATTATTATACCATTAAATCTGTAGCCCACCCAATGATATACCTTCTCATAGATATGATTTTACTATAGTAAAATTAATTTTTTACTATACAAAGAGTAAGAATCTAGATATATACAACAAAAAAATTTAGATACATTACTCATACCTGTTTCTTTTGTACAGAGTATCTTCTAAGGTAAAAGTGAACATAAGAAGAAAAAAAACTTTCCTTTTCAATTTTTTCCTTTCACTATCATTTTCTGGGATTTATACATACCATTAGCTGATAAAAGTTTTGTACATTCTTATACACAATTTTTCTCATTCACAGTGCTGAAAGTGGAAGCGATGGCTCTTCTGATGATGAGAGCGATGAGAACAATAACAATGTATGTTTCTGGAATACATACTGCAGTTTAAGTGCTAAAAACACACGAAGCTGCACGCTAAAAATCTTTATTTTGTGATGTGATTCTTTAGGAGTTATCTGCTTCTAAGAAGGGAAGCTTTGATCAAATGCTAGCGGATGGTAATTTCTTTTACCTGTCATGATTGTTTTGTTGCTTATTTTGAATTTCAGTAGATAAGTGATTGCTGAATCGACCCATATCCTATCAGGTGCTGCCCATGCTCAGAACAGTCCTGTCTTGCATGTGCCTGCAACTAATTTGAACATAGGAATGAACTTGTGGAGTTCTTCAGTGGGCCCTGGAGCCAACACAATGCTGCCAAATGCTTCTGGAATTTCACAGGGTGTGGTCTTTACTCCTGTGATGGGGCGCGAAGGAATGATGCCAGAACAGTGGATTCCGGTGAGTCTAATTTTATACTCCCTCCATCCCCAAAAGAACTTAACAATTTCCATTTTGGGCACACACTTTAACTTCTTAGTTACATATCCAACTTGTTTGTGCACTTCAACACAAACACTTCTTTTTGCACATTCTTACATTGTGATGACCATTGAACTCACAGGATGAACGTGAACTGAAAAGACAAAAGAGGAAACAATCTAACCGGGAGTCGGCTAGAAGATCAAGAATGCGCAAACAGGTCGTATCCCCCTTCTTCAAATACTTTGCATGACTTAAAATCTTTTTATCTTGATCAATATCATGTGCTACATTGGTCCTAACCAGGCGGAATGTGAGGAGCTACAAAATACGGTGGCCACACTGAGCAAAGAGAACCTGTCACTTAAGGAGGAGGTGCAAAGGTTTTCAAAGGAATGTGCGAGGCTTGCTCTTGAGAACAACTCCTTAAAGTTTGCAAATTAGTTAGTTACTCTCATGTCCCGCAAAAAGGTTTCATTTTAAAAGTTTTTAGGTTCGTGTATGTCTTGACCCCAAACCCGAACAGAGTTGAGATTATACTGAGTTTTGTTGCTTTTTGTATTTTGATTAACCAATCCCGGCCCTTGAATCCGCCACTATTGCATGCGATACAGGAAGAACTAATGAAGACTGCGCACGGTGTTCCATAAGTTGTGCCTAAGGTTGGGGTCATTGGAAGCACGGCGGCGGATGTGCAGACTAACAACAGCCCCAAATAACAGAAAATCATATACTCCAGTCCATATATAAACAACAGTCAAAGTAAGGTAATGTTGTTTACCATTGGTGGGAGAAGCTTGTGGATTTTATTATAGGAACAAATAGATTTGAGCTGAGGTTTGTTTGTTGTATGTGTGTATTATGATTATTATTATTATTATTATAATGATTGGCAAGGATAGTTAGGCACGGTAGACTTTGTGCCACGAGTGAATTCCACGTGGAACACTATCATACGCTAATTAACCCGGACAAAACTGTGCCATCCCCGTGCAAAACCTGTGCCATAACTGTGCCATCATCGTGCCATAACCGTGCCCAGACCGTGTCCAAAAATTATTTTCAATTTTTTACTTTGTTTTAAAGTGAAAATATACTATTGATACTAGCATTGTCTTAAAATATACGGGGAATTACTTTACCATAATTCTTACATTAGTCCAATTTAATTGAACAAATGATTTACTCATTACATTTTCTGAAGATTATGCAACTTGAATAAATTGAATTAAATTTAAAAAATATTTTACATTTATTTTATTTTGAATTCTTTGTACGTATGAACATCTTATTCATAACTATTGTAAAATTTACACCCACAATATGATAAATAACTAAAGAGAAATTTACCTATATAGTACTAAAACATACTCAAATACCCCCGTCTAAAAAAAATGCCACATTTCTTTTTTAAAAAATCACGGAAACTTTTGTTTATTAATACATTTTCATTGATTATTTAATAAAATAAAATATTCTTGACACTTCTTACTTTGAAGAATTTTTATATAGTTTTTAAATACTCTCTCCGTCCCATGAAACATTTCCCGTTTCAAAAAATGGCGCGCCTTTAAAATGAATAATTTTGGTGCTATTTTCTAATTATGATTAATCTATTTAAACATCTTATCCAACTCTTTTATAAAGTAAAGGCAAAATTAGAAAATAATACCAAAATTACTCATTTTAAAGGCGTGCCATTTTTGAAACGGGAAATGTTTCATGGGACGGAGGGAGTATGTAAATTTCTTTTTTATTTCTATAAGAATATTTGAATAAAATGAATAGAAAAAATTTGATATTTTACTTTGTTTTCTAATGTAGTATTGTATGTTTATATTTCATAATGTAATACCATTGTTCAATGTCCAGTGGACATTATTCAAGTGAATATTCACCATCACCGGATATTATTCAAAGTAATTGTCCTTCCCCACTAGATATTATTCTCGTAATTAGGCATTATTTAACAACCCGGAGTACTATTTAATAAATTAAAAGTTATGGGTACTATACTGGGAAAAGACATATGTTTTAATACTGTATTTAATATAAATTTCACATAATTAAAATATTGAATCGCAGAGATTACAATAGAAAGAATTTTCTTAACTCATACCTTGAATAACAACGTAACTACATACTGATTTTTCAAAAAACGCATATATTAATAAGACAAAAAACATGCACGTTAATTAGCAGTTTCACCCCGCACCACCTAATTAGTAATTGCATTAAACATATCAAAATATTTATTTCTTGTAAAGATTTTTGATTAAGTAATCTTTCTAGTAGTAGTAAAATCTTAAAATCAGCTCAAATAACATTTGGAATTTCTTTTTTTGTTTTTCATAGGTAAGCAGGTCGTTGTGTAAATTGATGTGCGTACTGCTTTATCTGTGACGACTTAACCGCTGGGTTCAATGCTTTGAGATTTGAGCCGTACGTAAATTATAATAGTTGTGTCCACTACAAAAATATGACTTTGTGCGCCGATTGAACAAAAATCTCTGCACCAAATCTAATAAAGTCTAATCTCCAAGACTTATTGGTCAGTATAAACTCCAAATCCCAGATGTTCTTCAATTTCTTCCTAGTTTATGTCTGATTCTATGTCTCGCTTATTTTTGTCTATTGTGTCTAAAAAATTGCTTTAATTTTCTGTTTTTAGAAACCATAAAAAATTGACTGAAACATTTTTTTCAAAAAATAATACGTAGTAGCATACCCACGTCCCACGGTATCGGCACAGCAAAATGGAGGAAAACATATTAACACCAACTTTAGCAACAATTAGGTAGAGAGATACTCCCTCCGTCCCAAAAAGATCTTCCTCCCTTTCATTTTTTGTGCATCCTATAAAAGAATTCTACACACATCTAAAATGCTTAAAATTTACCACATTTCTCATTTATTGTGGGTAGAAGTTGTTTTGAAAGTTTTTTTGCATTTGACGTGGGATAAAAGTGTTTTATAAGATGCGGAAAAAATGAAACAGGAAGATCTTTTTGGAACGGAGTGAGTACAATCATGTCCGACAGAGCCCCTAACTAACTATGGTTGGCTTAGCTGTATATGTGGTTTGTGTACAAAGATGGATCGGAGATGGAATTAATCAGGTTCACTTCCACGCTGACGTGGAGACGAGGGCCCTGTCGTGCCAGCACAGCAGCATCTCCTCATGTCTCTTTGCCACGTGGAAACCTCCGATCTGCATCCTCCCCACCAGGCAGTTGGCCTGCAAGTCAGCAAATTGACTCAACCCCACCTCCCGGAACCCCGCCGCCGCAAAAGCCTCCTTCCACGCCGTCCCACTGCTGCCGGCCGCCCCTACCATCTCCTCTATCTTCGGGACCACCACGAAGTTCTCAACCCTCTCCATCCAGTCACCGCCCCAGCCGGCGCTCGCCGCCTCGAGAGACTCCAACAGAGTGGAGTAAAACATCAGCCCGTCGATCACCGTCTGCCGCACGGACGACGGCCCGCACCCGACAGTCCCGTCGCAGTCCACGCTCACCACCATCTCAGGCGAAATCCGGCGGAGATCGGCGGCAAAATAACTGGCTTCGACCACCCGGAAAATCGCCGGAGACAAAAGGACCAACACTCTCTGGCCGTCTAAGAACTTGACGGATTCGAAGGAGAGAAGTCGGAACGTACTCAGGAGCACGAAATCCATGTGGAAGTCGATGCTCAGCTCGCTCGCGAGCTGAGCCAAGTTATCCTTGACCAGCTTCGACTCAACGCCGAAGCTGTCAGGAACCACAGCCGTTATCTGAAGAATAGTCCACTGATCGGCTCCTCTATCGGCTACTAGCTCTTTCATGAACGAAGCCCAGTGGGAGCCAAAGCCGATGTCGAAGTCAATGGCGTGTAGGAACACCGCGGAGCCCTCGTCATCATCGTCGTGCATGACGGCGGCCTCGAGCATGGCTTGGTTAGCGGTGAAGCCGGAGAACATGGGGACAGGGGAAATGCTGGAGAAGATTTGATAAGCTTCGATGGCCTTAATAATAACGTCGTCGGAGGGGGTTGTGGAGGCACGGCCGCCGCCTGACTGAAGGGCTTCCTTGAAGTAGAAGGCGGCTCTCCGGAGCGGCTTCCCGGCTGGGGAGGGGAGCTTGTGATGGAGCTGCGCCAGCAGGAGCTGATGAGGCGGCTGGAAGCTGTCGAAGCAGTCGGCCAACTGGATCAGCTCGTCCACGTAATCATACTCGTAACGCCAGCTGCTGCAGCACTTCTTATTATCATTATCCCCATCTTCATCCAACAAATTACCGATAATAGAGGTGTCATAATAATCGGCGGCGGCGAAGAAGTAATCGGTCGCATTCTCCGGCGGAGGCGGTGGGGTGAAAAGGAGAGGATCGCTAGAATTACTGGCGGCGAGGGGAGGTTTGGTCATCATCATGAGAGAGTCCCAATCATGGAAGTCGGGGAGGAAGTGATGATCGTCGTCGAGATGGTCATCGGCAGCGCTCGGGAGGAGCTCGAGGACCGACTTGGGCTCGTACTGCAAGTTATTGAAGAAACCGTCCAGAGCGGCGGCGGCCGGAATACTTGGCAGTTTCATTTCTCTTCGGCGGGCAATTCAGATGAGGGAGGTGTACCCAGCTAGCTAGGTAGAATAGAAAGGAATTGGTGAAAGGAAAGTTTGGAAAGGAAGGGGGAAAAGTGGAGCTCTGGGAGATCCTGCTGGCCCTGAAATTAATCAAACCATATGCAGGCTCCTAAATGTTACTGTTTGCATAGACCATGGAACCTATCTTGGTCTTCATTCCATCATCGATCGTTTTAAATTTTTGTATTCATTCCTGTACTTAATAATAACTAGTGAGAAAAATAATGTCCATGTGATGCTGGACATTTAGTTGAATAATGACTAATAGATAATAACCATTGGTCCTACATTGGGAAATGATCAGATCAGATCAAATCGAATCAGATCAGATCAGATCCAATCAAATCAGATCAGATCCAATCAGATCAGGACTTATTCAAAATAGAAAAAATAGTAAGGTTTCATTGTCCTGTGGAGATTGTTTATGACACGAATATCCTTTTCCAGGGGATTTCTTTTTGTTAGCACCAAACATGAAAGTGTTTAAAATTTAGTGAAATTTGTACTAAATAAGACTAAAATATAATGACTCTCTTAATGTAAGACTTAAACTTTTTTATTCTCTAAATAGGACTTAATAATGTCTTAGTGGGATGAATAATGACCAGTATTGATGAACATTTACCTGAATAATGACTCAGTGATAATGACCAAATGTCTTACATTGGAAAATAAAAACATATGGTCATATATTGGAAAAGTCATTATATTTTAGTCCTATTTAGGTCAATTTCTCTAAAATTTAAATAAAGTGGAGTATATATGTAGTGTAGTGTAGGTAGGCTGTCCAAATTAAAAAAAGGATTTCTATCTTTGCGTGTCTGTTGCAATATTTGAGTAAAGTCTAGCATTTGCATAAAGTCCACCACTACCTCCATTCTTCTCATCACCTTTGGCATATTTAAATTGAAATATTTGTACTAAATATCATCAAAATTTAAGTCATTTTTCTAAATAGCACTTAAACTATTTTATTTCCTAAATAGTACTTAATAATATCCATTAATGACAAATATTTACTTTAAAAATTACTAATGCATAATGACTAAAAATCCTACATTAAGAAAAAAACAGATGCTATTTAGGGAAGTCATTATGTTTTAGTGCTATTTAGGTAAATTACTTTTCTTAATTAGTTATGGGGGAGTATGGCAGAAGTAGTCAATAGATGATGTTGAAAGTTGGCCTAAGAGAGGGGCGGGGTAAGGGGAACTATGATGTTCTGTTTGTAAACCCTGCCTCCACATAGTCCCGACCCGAACTTACCCTTTTGATTACACCACCCCCTCTAAATTTATTTGACTTTGGTTCAGGAAGAGGAGGGACATGAAGTTTGCCGGAGATTAGGAGGTACGAATCGTCTATTTTGCAAACGGGACTCAATGGTGCAATATCTAAACTAATCGAATGTTATTCAATTCATATCATAATTTAATGTATCTTTGCCGCATATATATTATGAGTAAAATTCCTAAACTTTGATCTAGTAATTTTTTTAATACTTCTTGAACTTTTTAACTAGATCTAGAAAAACAGACCCGAACTGGATAACCCGAACTGAATAATCCAGAACCAAACCCGAAAACTAAAAAACCGAATTAAACCAGAACACCCAAAATGATCTGAACCGAATCAAAATTGAACTGAATGTTTTCAAACCCAATTTATATCCAAATCCAATCAAACTCGAACCGATTAAACTTAGAACCGATCAGACTCAAAACCGATTAGACCCGAAATCGATTATATTTAATATTGATCAAATTCAAAATAAATTAAATGCAAATCTAGTCAAACCTAATAACTCATTGGTTGATGTCTTTTTTCAAAAAAGCATACTTAAATAATAGGTACAACTAATTTCATGTACAAATCTTTTATTCCGTATTTTATCACTTAAACAATGTTTGTTTATTTTTATATAAAGTACATATAATTTCTTGTGACATCGTAACACATATTGATAGATATACTGAATCATTATTTCTGACACGTGTATATATATATACCCTCCTATCCTCTTATACACACATGGATGGGAGGCTACAACAAGGCTAACATCAGAAATTCTTATATTTCTTCTATCCCTTAAACTCTTTCTCCTTTCTTTTTTCTTGTCCCACAACTCTTTTTTTATCTATTAAAAAACTACTTTTACGACCCATACTAATTCATACCCTACTTATTAGATCATACCTTTTTACTAATAATCAATCCATCACATTATACTCTTACCCATGAGATTGCGAGTATTTTTGGAAAATCAACACAAAAATATCTCTTCCTTAAATTCTCAAAAAGTTAATAAGGAAAGAATTTCAAGAAACGAAAAGAGTACTAAGAAATCTCATCTGAAACTTGTATAAACCCAAACCGGTATAAAAATTCAAATTTGTATAAACTCGAACAGATATAAACTCGAACTTAAATTGAACTAAAATCATGAAAAATCAAACTGAATTAAATCCGGAATGAAATTGAGGTGATGACTTTAATGAGAGACATAATAAATGACACGAGTGAATTCGAATATTATTTTCTTGGGATAAGTGTTTGATTGACTTATGAGTTCATTCTTACTACTGTACGAGGGAGGAAGTGTGCTCCATAAGGTGCCTTCTAAACAACTTTTTAAAGGAAAAAAAAGGGTCAAATAGCTAGGCCTTCCACTTTTTGCATTTACAAATTTAAAGTAATAAACTTTCTTTTTTTAATGAAAGTTTTTTTGAAGTAAAATGCCTTTTCCAAGTGAAATTTTTTTACCTTTTTAGTAGATAGATCCTACCTCCTTTTCAAAATTTCATTTATTCCCACTTTTATGAAGGTTAAGAAAGAATTTTGTGTGTGTTAAATTTCTAATATGGGGATAAGAATAATAGGGGGATAAGTAATTTTCTGATAGAAGTGAGAAAAGATCTATGGACAACAAAAGAAAAGGGACTTTTACACACGGATGAAGTATAAATTAAACATTTATTTTTGTATTTATGCCCCAACATGTGATCCGATTTAAATAGGTTAAATTTAATTTTTTTAATTTTCTTTTAGTAAAATGTGCTCCATATTTTATTGCATATAACTAATTATTTATAATATAAAATTTTAAATCATCTATTACCAATTTTTACATTCAATAAATGATTGAAATAAAATTTATTATTTATATCATTTCAAATAGCCTATAAAAAAATCTGGAGCATTACTCCTAGACTCCTCACCAATGATGCTCCAATGTACTCAGTAACTGATTTCTTACATCTGCCACTAATGTCAAACTAGGAACACCTTAAGATATGATTTGTTCTTTTTTATACTTTGACTTTTTTATTTATGTAATAATTTTTTTGTACTGATATATGTAATACAACTAGTTTTTTATTATAATTTTTTTAATTATGCAATGAATTTATTTATATATTGATATGTCGTACATAAGATATGTGGTATATATGTAATAAATTTATTTTTAAGCAAATACGTAATACGGATTACAATTTTTTTAATTAATGATTAAGATTTAGATTGTTTGACTTAAAAAATGAATTTGGACCAATGATTTAGAAGAAACAAGTTAACATTGAGTATTTCCTCCGTCCCAAAATATTTGTTACATTTGCTTTTTTAGCAGTCGCGAGAACTTTTGTTTATTTTTACATTTTTATTGGTTATTTGATAAAATAAAATATTTTTGACATCTCTTATTTCGAAGAATTTTTCATGTAGTTTTTTGATATGTAAATTTTATTTTTTATTTCTATATAAATATGTAAATAAATTGAATTTAAAAAGTTTAATATTTTACCTCGAAAATATAAGTGTAACAAATACTTAGAGACGGAAAGAGTATTAAACTATAGAATAGCTATTAAAGAAAGAAAGGAATATATTCTTCTGCGGCGGCGGGTGAAAAGGGGCGTGTGATGGCGCACTCAGATAGATAGACAGCAGAGACTCAGAGAGCTCCCTTCATGGGACCATTTTTTTTTTTTTTTTTGAATTATATTTAGGGAGATGCTAGGAGTACACCAAAAGGTGTACCCCATTTGTACACCACCCTCTCCATAACCACTCATTTATTTTTTATTTTTATTTAATTAATTATTTTAAATTTCTTGCCTATTTAAGTGGTAATGGAAGGGGTGGGGGACAAATAGAATACACCTTTGGTGTACCCCTAGCATTTTCCTTATATTTATGAGCACGAGGCGAGAGACTATGGGACTAGGCACTAATTAGGGTTTGGTCTCTAACTAAAGCTATTCTAAATGTGGTTATCCCTTCATTTTGAAAATATTCTTTTCATTTTTCTTTCTTGAGGGTCCGAAAAATATATTCTTCCCATTTTGTTCCCTCACTGTCGTTAAGCTTCCTGATCAACTCAGTTGGAATTTGCCTTCTTTATTATTGATTGATGCAACATCACAGTTGCTTCCTCGATCTCGCCAGATTAACACAATGAGGGTAGGTGATGGCTTGCACGACGACGGCTCCCAAATCGGGCGACTTCTTTTGCGATTTCACCGCAAAATGCAACACTAACGTGACAACTATTCATAAAATTTTTGAACTTGAAAGATTAACTGTACTGTACATGATGAATAACTTAAATACCAATAGTGCAACTCCTTTTATTTAATTATAAGTCAAAAATGAGAATAGTTGATTGTAAAATATCAAAATTGAACAAGTACTCTACGACCATAAAATTTTTTACTACTCCCTCTGTCTCTTAAAGTTCTTCCCTTATTAACTTTACAAAAATATTTTTGATGTGATAAGTAAAAGTAGGATATGATAGATAAATTATTACTCCCTCCGTCCCAAAACTTTCTTCCCATAGCACTATTCCAACTTCACGGGAATTTATATTTATTTGTGTTTTTTCATGGCTTATATGATAAAATAAAATATTCTTGTCACCACTTGTTTTGTTGAACTTTTGATGTAGTTTTTAAATATGTATGTTTTATTTTTTATTTCTATACCAATATTTAAATAAAATAGATTGAAAAAACTTGGGATTTTTCTTTGTTTTGCGCAACGGGAAGAAAGTTTTAGGACGGAGGGAGTAGTA